CTTCTGACTAAGATCATCTACATCTTCTGTATCTATAGCATTCCTCATAACTTCCTCGTTTGATGTAAGGGTTCTCGCAATTTCTCCGCTTGCTTCCTCATCACATTCCTCCTCAGGTGGCTTGATATCAGTGCTTGGCTAGAATTTCTCAGAAATTTCATAAAATTATTGAAGGGTAGAAAATATTCGGGGATAAATAGGCTAAACTAACCAGGTTTTTGTTGGTCGCCTCATCAAAATCCCCTTCCATAGCTGTCACGGTTTCAGCGTCTTCTTTTACCTTCTTCAAAAATAATTTTCTAAGGTATCTAAGCTTTTCCAACATTAACCTACCCTACCTCATTAATCCTCACAAGAGATTCCTTTGCCTTTCCCTTCTTCTTCAAACCCTCCTTCTCTTTGCCGCCATCCTTTTTCACTTGCTTTATCTTCTCTTTCTCCTTTATTTCTGCTTCTTTCTCCTTCTTTTCCTCTTTCTTCGTCTCCTCCTTCTTTGGTTCTACAACTTGTAACTTCTCCAAATTCTCTATCATTTTCTCCATTGTGCTAATGACTTTCTCCAATTTTTCTGGATCAATTTCACGTGGAATGTTCGATGATTCATCGTGAGCTTCGATCTCCGTACGTTCCACCTCGGTTCCACTGCCTTCGTCTGCTTCAGAAATTTCCTTTAATGGAGCTGCCCAAGCCCGTGGAATCTCCTGCGGTATATTTACCGTAGACGCTTCCGCACGTTCAGTTGTTGTAGTCTCCGCGCTAACAGGTTCAGTGGTTACGGTAGACGCTTCAGTAGTTACCGTAGTCTCTTCCACTACTGAAGCAGATGCTTCAGCGGTTACAGTACCAACTTCGACTATTGTAGTTCTTCCTGCTTCGGTTGCTTCGGGTTGAGAAGTCGCTTCGGCAGATGTTCCTTTTGCTTGGATGGATGACGTAGTTGGGCCTGTATAACGTCGAATGGTTCAGCGAATAAATGAATGGATGCATGAATGAATGGTATGGTACATGGTAAATGTTTCAAATCATACCAGAAAGTAATTCAGTGCTTGAATTGGGTCGATCCTCTTGTGAACCTGGTCGTGATGTTTCTTCTTCTTCTGCATCAGGAATAGTAGACACTACGGATTCTCCTGGCTGGAAAGTAGGTACCGTATTATTTGACTTAACAATACAGCACATTTTCTTTAGCAATCACGTTGAAAACATTTTTCTACTGTAATTTAAGGAACTATGCATACCTTATTTACTTTGTTTAGGATTTTTAACGCAGATTCAACTG